AAGTGGGACGTGTCCACGAAAGCTTACATTAAAATATAATGGGTAGTCTTTAAGGTGCCGCCTGTTTTTGTCCTTTTTCTCGTATTGTTTTGTTTCTTTGGATTTTGCCTTTCTTCTGAAGGTTTTTTTCTCTCTCTTTCCTCCCTGCTGCAGCCTCTGAAGGAGGTGGCTTCTCGCGTGGAGAAGGGGTACAAGATGGACGCCCCCGATGGCTGCCCCCAGGTTGTCTACGATGTGATGAAGTAGTCTTTAAGGTGCCGCCTGTTTTTGTCCTTTTTCTCGTATTGTTTTGTTTCTTTGGATTTTGCCTTTCTTCTGAAGGTTTTTTTCTCTCTCTTTCCTCCCTGCTGCAGCCTCTGAAGGAGGTGGCTTCTCGCGTGGAGAAGGGGTACAAGATGGACGCCCCCGATGGCTGCCCCCAGGTTGTCTACGATGTGATGAAAAAGTGCTGGAACTTAGATCCTTCTCACCGGCCCTCTTTCCACCAATTACGGGAACAGCTAGAGCATATCAAAGCCAGCGAGCTTTACCTGTGAGGTCGGACCAGAGGGCGGGGCTTCCTTTGGACACGCCTTCTCCATCACTTCCTGTGATCCACCTCCCGTGCACATGTGTCAGGGGGAAGGCTGGGTAAGGGACCGACTGAAGCAATGTGGGTCTCTTTTGTTTTGTTTTTTTCATTTTTTTCATCCCCCCCACCCCCCCAGGAATCAGAATTGCTCCACTCAAGGGACTATACTCCGAGAAAACATATTGGACTTGGTGCATATCCCCCACGCACCCCGGCTGGTGGGTGGGGAGATTGGTTCCTCTTTCGGTGGGCACCCTCATCTGTCTTTTCTTTAACAGAAGGATGTACAAGCAAGGCGAAACAGTGGAATGGCCATCTCTCTCTCTCTCCCTCTTCCTTCCCTCTTTGTAGTAAGAACCGAAATTCACCAGGGAAAGGTGCAACGGCATTTTAGTAGCATGTTTCTGCACCTTCCCCTATGAATTTCCCGCCATGCATCACCCTCCCTTGTCTTCCCATTTCCCTTCTACCTTTTAACATTTCCCAGGAACCAGACCTGGGTGCCTTCGGTTCTTGGGAAGGATGAGAAGGGTGCCCATCCTGCTGAAACAGGACAAAGAGGACAGATGAGCAGGGAAGATATTTCACGGGGGGGGGGCTGTTGGTGGAGGGGAGGGCAATGTAGTGAATTTCCCTGCCCTCCCAGTAATTCTGCAACTGCTGGAAATCCCACACTGTCCCAGGCAGCAACTTGTCTCCTACTTTTTTTAAAAAAAATAATAATACAGGTTTTGTTGAGTTTTAATTTTTTTTCAGTTGGGTTTTTTTTTAATTATTATTATTTCAAGACTGCACCAGAAAATCAGCTATTTTGCTGGGTTTTACTAAAGTTACAGATCTTATTTTTTAATGTAATGATTTAAAAAAAAAAAGTTTCTTATGCATAGCAAAATATGGTAGTCATTTTCTATTTAAGAGCTCAGCAGTAGTTCTGAGTGTTTCAACTTGTGCAGTAATCTGAAAGGGAAGAGTGGAGTTGAATCTTACTGGCCCTGCTTGTCAAATTCACATCTTCAAACTTCTTGCTAGTAGATGTAACTTCTGGACTAGGGAGTCTGTTGCAACTGTATATATTGTGCAGTGCCTGGAAAGGAGAAGTGATTACTGTTATAGTAAAGAACTTTATTTTGTTGAAAGGTTGTTATTCCAACTTGTTCAGCTTAGTGTACTTGTAAAAGGTGATGGGGGAAAATATTACTGAGCTGCACACTTTTCCTGCCTGCTCCTATATATTTACTCTCTTAGTGTAGATATAGTTCTTCTTCGTGGCCTCTGTGAATGCACACATATGGGTTTAGTCTGTGCCTGCTAATAAAAAGAACCATTCCATATGAACACATAAGCATCTTGTCTCAGTTGTGTTCTTTTCCCCCCCCCAGGTTCAAGGCATCAGGGTGTGTTTTTGAATAGGTAGCAAGACCTCTATAGGAATTTCAACAACTGTGGCTGAAATCAAAGCCTGTTCCTTTAAAAAAAAGACTACAATTTACATAATCCCCTGGGATTTAGCATGCTGTATAGGGAATGTGGGAGTTTGGGTTCAGAAAGTAATTTTTGTGAGCTCTGGACAAAGGTAGAAAATGTGTTTCCTCCTCCTTTTGAACTATAAGAGAGAAGACATGATCAGTTAAGGGAGGGGTGCAGGTGGAAGATAAGAAAGCCTGGGCCTCCTGTAAAATCTGGTAAAGAAAGTAGTGAAATTACGCTATAAAATACAGTTGCTTGGGAGCAGCCTTACTCTGAAGAAGGTTGGAAGAAAAGAGAAAGTTTAGCCTGAAGAAGACAGGGCAAAAATACAGACCAAGGGCCATCTTAGGTTCTAGGCAAAGCTGTCACATAAATGGAATAAAAAAGCAATAAACTTCTCCTTTGAATTGCATGGGTCCAAGCAGCACTGTGTTGGCTATAGATGGATTTTTATTTCAATCAATAAATGAATGTTCCAATTCGAAATATAAACAATCAATATGGTGCTGCTATTTGTCTCCAGGAAGTGGCCAGAAAAAGATGGTCCTTGGACCTGTTGCTGGCGATGCAGAGACCCCAGCCCCCCCCCTCCTGGCATGGTGGCTCCCTTTGATGGCCAGGGAGGGGCATGGTGGGGAGGGCCAGGGAAGATCACAATAGCACACTGCTCCAGTGGGGTAGAAGGTAGGAGGAGAGATCATGCCTCCATTTCCCCCGTCTGATAAAGCCTTTTTTAAACACATATTTTGAACTGCACGTGGGTTTGGTGCCCCTAAACCCAGCATTGTTGAACTATAACAGTTTCTCCTTTATTAAGAACTTTTGGCAATGACTGAATGGCTACAAATTAGGGAACGACAAAATCCACCACTTTTGCTTTCTTCTGTCTTCCGGTTTCGTAACCCTCAAGGGTCATTTTCATCTTGAATATGTTGCCTGCAAAAGTTGATCCGTACCCAAACTGAAATGTAACATGGTTCACCCACCTGCTGGGGGGTGGGGGAGCAAAGTAGGCAGAGCATTTCCTGCATGTGGTGCTTGCCTGAAGTGAAGGCTGATGACTACAGATGGTCATGACCTGTCAGTTTGTGCTAATTCACCTGCAGATCCAACAGGTATTCTGCAGTTCCAAGCCCCACCCCCTCTGGCAGGCATCCACTCCGAGGTATTACCCGACTTTCCCTGCCCCACCTCCACAGAGCACCGTCTCTGTGGGGGTGCCTGCTGGAGGAGGCAGGGATCAGAACCATGGAAAACCTGGTGGACTGACAGTGGTTCATTCCCATCTCTACTGATGACTCCATTTCGGTGGGGAGGAGATAGTCAATCCACTCCAGCTTTAGGCTAAATTTGAAAGGGGCTTTCCATAGTGTTGAATCTGTTTTGGGAAAAAGGGTTCAGGACCTTGGACAGCACCCATAAAATTTGGACTAAGCCCCATCACCATTCCCAAGAAATTAGAAATCATAAATCTTCCACTGCTTGCCTTCCATGTGCATATTAAAGATGAGGAGCCACTCACAAAAAAGGTGGCAGCTTTTATTCAAATACAACATGGCTGAGTAATATGAGGATCCTACGCAAGATTTTTAAGAATGAAGCACTCAATAGTCCTAAAACCTGTATGGATAAATTTGACAGTTCAGTTTCTTTCCCATGTGTCCTTATTAAAAAAAGACTTTTCAAGTTCTTTTCATTCTGAATATGAAGAAATGTTTGGATGTTGGCAACAACAGCAACAATGACTGTGTGTTGTCAAGTCAACTATGGCTAACAGTGACTCTTCAGGGTTTTCTAGACAGAAGAAGGGCAATGTGGCAACTCTTCTCCTCCTGTTGGCAGACACGGCCGAGTGTCCAAAGTGGCCTGTTCTGAACATCTAAGCTAGTGTATTCCTCTCGGGAGTGGTGGAGGATGTTGGAGAGGATACAGTTCAGTCAAGCTGAGGTAATAATTCAACTACCAGTCTGGCCAGCTGTTGTGGCGTGTATGTCTGCGTGCGG